CGTTCGGCCGCGCATCTAAGCGCCAAGTTAATCCCTTCGTCAACCGACGTGTCGTACAGTAGTGGGTTCCCCATGTCATACGCCCTGGCAGGATTTGTTTCATGCTCGTCTGAATCGTCGCTACGTGCGTTCGCTCGTCGCATTCAGGTGTCGGACATATTTGGCTGCATGTCGCATCGCTACGTGCGTTCGCTCGTCGCATTCAGGTGTCGGACATAGTTGGCTGCATGTCGCATCGCATCGTTCTCGAAGGTGTTGTACTATCTAGGGGGTGCGCTAGTCCATGCACCCCGAACCAAGTTCGGCCGAGCCCTCGCGGCGACGAGAAACACCCCCCCACACAGAGACACACAACTAACTGTTGAATTAAACACGAAATACTGTCCTGGAGGTCAGATGGTCGAAATTGTGGAACTTCGGCGTCGGGGAAACCTTGGCTGCCTGGCAGTTTGAAATAAATCTGCGACAAGAATCTCGCAGCTTCTGGTATTGGCTGACCGACAGGCACACCTTCGAAGTCCGAACCACAGTTATCCATTCTCTAATTGCCAAACCAGCCGCCAGAAGCTCAGAGTGGAAAGGGATATTACGATGGACACCAAGCCTGTCAAGCGAAAAGTCTAGCATGATACCAGTTTCAGCACCCTTCATCTTGAGAGCCAGGCCGCCGTGACATTCTTCGGAACTGATGCCGCCCAACATTTTATCATTCAGCACGCCCAATCGCCGCTCGTGCGGCACATCGGTACGGTCATAAAACACGTGCATGTCGGCTTCAAGGCGTTTACATCGTAGCTCGGGCCTGACATTCCACGGGTTGGACGCTAGTATCCTGAGCAATGCAGCGGCCACCCACCTTTGAAGACATCCCAGGAAGACGCAATGTAGCATGTCTAATCCTAAGGATCTGGTTGGCGATGTGCCGAGCGACCGATCAAACAGGGGGCTCTTGTGGTGACATAAATCTACGATTCGCTTATATCTGTCACGACCTGCACGCCAGAATAACGCCTTGAACGGCGTGTCTTTCGATTCGAATTTCTTGCATACCAACAACGACGAACATGGTTCAAGCCGATCCCCTGCCTCGAGCCCTAACAGAGGAAAAGAGGCCGTCAGGACCCTACCTTTAGTCTCACCGTCTCCTTTCAAACATGCTGCGATCGCATCCCTATCTGCATCTGTTTGTATCTCTATATATACCATGCATCTTCTACAACAGTCGAAATAATCCTGTTCAGACTTCAACATCGCTACGTCTCTATCCAAAGTATATTCTACGTTCAGCTCCTTGGAAATACTACATATTGGGCATGAATGGTAGGTACTCCCCCACGCAGGCAAGCCTAACGAATCGCAATGTTCTGCCCAATCCCCTCTTATATGTAAGAGCATTGCTTTAAATCCTAAGCTGCGCCCAGCGTCAGGAACATTATCTCGCCGAAACCAAGGTGTGCCGTCATGGCGGCACTGAGGGACAATGCCTTTGACTAAATTGCGCAATTGCCAAGCGACGACTTCGAGCACGCCGTGCACCGAGCAGTGCCCGCTGCAACCGCACGAGCAATACGAATCCTTCCTGAACACACCACATAAATGTCGTTTGTTTGTGACCAGATTTATGACTGATACGCCAAGTATGCTGTCCGCACGCCCCCCCCCTCACACAATGGGCGGCACTACTCGCGTGTGGCGCGCGGCGTCCATGCCGAACGTTGCTGGCACACTGCTGCCCTGACCACATCGGCCCACAAAAAGGAAAAGGAGGGAGGATAGGGGACGGGACGGGGGATCGAGGGGGGAGGGGTCGGGCGGGATGACAAGGGCAAGAGGGGACATGCGGAGGAGAGAGGACGGGGATGAGAGGAATATACGGGCGATACATTGCATTGCCTGGCGGCACGGCGGAGCCGAGCAATCCGTCCGCCCAGCCGCCTGCCCCGAATATCGCACGCCGTCCAAATAGACGGCGAGCGGCAGAGGCAAAGCTTCGTCTGCCTCTATAGCCGCAATCACAAACGGGTGGTTGCGGTAACTCGGAAGTGAAAGCACCGAATCAGTCTCCCCATCGGGGCCATCTCTCAGAAGGTCGAGGCAAGTTGGGTCTGAATTAACTTCCTGCGCAATGGTCCTGAACACTTGTCTGAACACAATATTTCTGCTCGGTCGATGGGACTGCCTCCTGATATTCGCAGCAATCCGCAGCCGTGACTTCGCACGTTGAGGCGCGTTATAATGCGTTCTGGTTCCATCCCGTAAGGTTGCTCGACTGTGTTCTAGGCCCGACGATCCCGCTAACCCATTCATATAAAACAGCGGAGGTCATGTGTTTGCGCCCTTCACGCGGATCGTGACTTTCGAGGGGAAACCCGTATCAATTGGGGGATATGGTCCGACACATTTCACGAGCATCGTGACTTCTGCCATTGCGCGCCAAGTCCCCCGCGAATTTGGGGAGCGCCATTGGTCGACGCTCCCCGCGAGGCTCGTGGCCGCCGAGGGGGGGGGGAGGGGGGTCAACGACTACACATCGCCCCCGACCCAAGAGACCCCCAGGAGCCCCCCTGAGAGGCCCGAAAGGCACCCGACACGCAGCCAAGGAGCACCAAGGGGCCATATGAGGCCCCAACCGGCCTCCAGGAGGCATCCAGAAGCTTCGATTCTGCCTCCCAGGGGGGCCCTGCTGCAACGGCGCGGCGCGGTGGCGGGGGTTGCCGCAGGCAAGGTGGATATCGGCTCTATAATACGGACCGCTGTCGGGGAGTCGTTTTGACAAATGCTTTTTGTAATTGCCAGAGCTCTGACCAGGCCTGCACTTGTATCGGCCGAACTCTCCTCCTGGGACTTCGCAGACACTCAAATGCCAACAGAGCACGCAGAAATCCCTGGCCGCCAATCGTTTGCAAGACCCATATACCCCCAGAAGTATGTCAAATATCCGTTTGCCAGAGTGTCGTTTCTGTTGCCCACCGCGCATCCATGGTCGCCTGTGGTTTCTGCGTGCAGTTCGGGGTGGCATCGGAACAAAACTTGGGCCGCGCTGATTACGGCGTGCCCTGCTTACTGAAACTACACCCCATGTGTCCACTCTCATTCGCGCCGCACTACGATGGCCCAAGATGCGGCCGAGACGTTCGAAGAGGCCCCAGCAGCGTCTCAAGAGGAGGGGAGATGCGAGGAACGGAAGGTGGCACTTGATCGGGAGCAGTGTAACATACAATTGCACGTGCACGGATGTCGATGACATGCTTAAGTGCGTCATGCAAGTCACACAAGGATTGGCGACAGAGGGAGGTGGAGCGGGAGGGTGGTGAGCGGGGGGAGGGATGGCGACGAGAGGGAGAGAGAGAGAGAGAGAGAGAGAGGGAGGGGAGAGGGAGAGGGAGAGGGAGGGGAGAGAGGGAGGGGAGAGAGGGAGGGGAGAGAGGGAGGGGAGAGAGGGAGGGGAGAGAGGGAGGGGGAGAGGGAGGAAAGATTACCACTTCGGCCGCTCGACCGTGCCTGCGAAAACGTGAGCAGATAGCAGCAGTGCAAACGGTCGGCCATGTTCAAACGAAAGAGAGCTCAACGGTTGCTGCAATCACCCTCGTCGTCGCTATCCCCTTCGCTCGATCCCCCTTGTCGCATCGCAACCGTTGTCGTCAGCGTTGCTGGCCAAGCACGGGGCACTCGGGCGAGTGATGTGCTACCAGCGCCCAGGGAAATTAAGGCATCGCGCTGCTGGGGCCACATATGTTACACAGCGTGTGCGCGCGTGCCACGAGCGCCTCCGCTGTCCCAGGATCCCCCCGCGAGGTTCACAGATCTACGGATTTTCTGGAATCTCCCGAACATGGCTGATTTTTTCCAGAATTTCTGGAATTCCCCAGTCAGGTACAATATTTTCTGGAATTTCCCGAACGTTTACCGATATGCCGTGAGTTCGTGATTTACGCAGATGTTATATGGTTGTTATACGGTTGTTATACGGTTGTTATACGGTTGTTATTCGTGACATTCCCTGTGAATTTACACGGTTTGGGAGGGGTTATATGGAAGTTATTCGGGGGTTATATGGATGTTATACGGTTGTTATTCGGGCTGCGGCGGCGGCCGCGTGTCGTCTCTACCACCACATCCTGGCGCCGGCTCCCTCGTGGCACGTTCGCAGCTGAAATCTAGGCACACCCCCAGCGAAGCATGGCGCAGACCGATCACTCGTCTTCAATATCGCGAGAGGCGGCGGCCTGGGCCATGCGGATCAGTTTCGCCCAGTACTCGTTGCTTTCGGTCAGGGGGCCCTCGAGGAGCTGGTTGAAGTTCAGAGCGTTCCTCTCGAAGGCGTCCTTGCCGACCTCCCCCGCCCGCGGGCGCCAGGATCTGGAGGGCGGAGGGCAGGAAGACGGAGGAAGGGCGCAGGAGGAGGGAGAGCAGGAGGACGGAGGAAGGAGGAGGGAGGAAGGAAGGAGGAGGGAGGGCAGGAGGACGGAGGAAGGAGGAGGGAGAGCGGGTGGACGGAGGAAGGAGGAGGGAGAGTGAGTGACGAGGGGGGAAGAAGAGACAGGCACCCCCCTTGGCTGACCTGAGCCTTGTAAGCAGACTCGGACGTAGCCAGCATCGTGGCGAAGATGGGGTTCCTGTCGAGCAAGTTCTCAACCGATTGAGGGGCGGGGGTCGGGGGTGGGTGGGTGGAAGGGGGCGCGGAGGGAGGAGGTCGGGGGAATGGGAGGGGGGGGAGGGAGGGGAGGACGGGAGGGAGGGGGGGCGAAGGGGGCGAGGAGGAGCAGGGCGAGGAGAGGAGGAGGAGGAGGAGGAGGAGGAGGAGGCGAAAAGGCCCAAAACCAAGCGTCAATATTTCCAAAAATATTGACGCCCTCTTTTTGGCTCAGATTCCCCCCCCCCTCGGAGGAGGAGGAGGAGGAGGAGGAGGAGAGGAAGGAGGAGGAGGAGGAGGAGGAGGAGGAGGAGGAGGAGAAGGAGGAGATGAAAGAGGAGGATTTGGCACCCTGGCGTAGTAGCTCTTGATTCTGTTCTGCACCTTGTCGGACTCAGCAAACTCCCACGCCTCGTCGTTGCCGACGAGCCTCTGGATCATCTTGCACTGGCTCTGGCCCGACTGGAAATCGCCCTTCAGCTTGCGGAACAGCTTCAGCCAGTCCGCCATCTTCGTCTTCTTGGGGCGATCGGGCTCGCCACCAGCACCGCCTGGCTCGCCAGCAGCAGAGGGTGTCACAGGAGTCGGCGTCGCAGGAGTCGGCGTCGCAGGCGTGGTGGGCGCCTTTGTCGGCGTCGGCGCTCCTGGTTCCTCTCGCATCCGCTTCTTGTCGGTCATGTCGGGCTCGTCCTGCTTGAGCGTCGTGTCCTTCGTTTCTTTCTTGCGTGTCTTGTCAGCCGAAACGCTCCTCGCCTTCCTCTCTTTCTCGGACTTGCCATGCTTCTCCTTGGGCGTCTTCTTCTCTCGAGCCTTGTCCGTCTTTTCCTCAGCCTTATCTGCCTTGTCTTTCTTATCTTTCTTCTTCTTATCCTCATGTGTCTTATCCTCGCGTTTGTCCGTCTTGTCATCCTTATCCTTCGTCTTCTCCTTCGTCTTCTCCTTCGTCTTCTCCTTCGTCTTCTCCTTTGGCTTCTCCTTCATCTTCTCCTTCGACTTCTCCTTCGACGTTTCCTTCGTCTTCTCCTTCTTGTGGCCGTCGTACTTCGCGCTCTCCTTCGGGATCAGCGGCGCCTCGTCGCTATCGCTGGGCCCAGCCGCGGCGGCTGGCGCAGGCCCAGCCCTGGCGGCTGGCACAGGCCCAGCATTGGCGGCTGGCGCAGGCCAAGCCATGGCGTCATGTCCATCGTCTGCTTGGTCATCATCAGCGCCCATCCACCGTTGTATCCTTTTCCACCTACGCTTGTATCCGCTGATCAGTTGGTGCTCGATGTTCAGGAACTCCAGCGCGTCGCTCATCTCGTCCTTCCTGATGTAGATGCCTCCCAAGAGGATGCACGACGTTGCCGTCTTCACCGCGATCTTCATGCCTGTGACGCCACCGCCCTTCTTCCACGCCAGCCTTCCCAGTGTCATGTATGTTCCTGTCGCTTTCTTCTCCTTCGATTGCTCCTCTGTCCTCTCGCAAATGACTTGAGACTTCCACCTCTCGTGTTCCTTCTTCAGCCACTTGGCCCGAAACGCTTTCGGACAACCGTATCCACTCTCCTTCTCGTAATCTTCGCGGAGCTTCTTATCTGCCGCGAGTGCACGTTGCCACACGCCTCCGATAGCGTTCCCCTTCTTCGTCGACGTGCTGAAGAAATACCCGTTCGCCGCGTGCTTCTCGAACATATCATTCTTTCTCTTCTGCTCGTCGTTCAGGTGGGCGTACTCCTCATCCTCGAAATCATCGCCGAAATCGTCGGCGAACTCTGGGTCCTGCTGCCTCAACTCTTTCGCTTTCTTCAGGAGGTTACTGTCGTGAAGCTTGAGCAGCTTCGCGTGGAACGTCTCGATCATGACCTCCTCGGTCGCTCCTTGCGTGCAGACGTCCTGGGTGAGAGCGCTCGTCTGCGCCTGCAGCGCAAGGATGACATCGTCCTTGGTCTTCAGCTCGCCTGTGTCCTGAACTCGAACTCGAACTCCACCTCTGGTGACGTGGCCGATTCCGCACTCCTGGGGCGGAGGATGAGCAGGATGAGCACAAGCAGGGGAGGGTGGAGGACGCATGGCTCCTGGCGGTTCGACGACGACGCTGTCGGCCACCCTGGCGGAGACTGCGGCGCAGATCTCGAGGGAGCAGTCGTCGACCCCTCGCCGTCCTCCTTCGCCGCAGCCTGCTCGGAGGCACGGGCGAAATGGATGGGGGGGGGGTCCAGAGTAGACAGGGAGTAGGACATATGAAGCTGGAGCTGCCAGCCTTCTTCTCGTCCTTGGCATGGTCGGCCTGCGCTGGGCCGCGGGGCTCGCCCTCGGGCTCGCCCGCGATCTCGACCGCGGGCGCGGCGGGCTCGACCCGCGCATCACCTGGCGAACTGTCGATCTGGATAGGCGGCGGCAGAGCCGAAGTGGGCAAGCCCGAGGCAGCGCGCTGCGCATGGTCGAGTGCGTCCTGTGACTCGGCTGGGCTTGTAGGCGATGCCTTTTCCGTCGGGGATCCATCGACAGGCTCCACAAGAGTGGACGCTAGAGGCTCGATCGAGGGAATAGTCGTCTTGCCTCGGATCCTCCTGGGGGTCTGGCTCGCCTGCTCCGCTGGGATCGAGTGTGCAGGGGAAACCTCAGTCGCGACGCCCCTCCTCTCCTCGTTAGCGGCTTCATCCGAGGCCTTCTCCAAGTCACCGCCACGTGACGGACTGGGCTCCCTGCCCCCCGCCTGATGGCTTCGCTGATGCTGCTCCAAGTAGGAATTCTCGAACTGTGAGTCCACGTATCGGTCCTCGTTTGAAGGGCGTCTGACATTACAGCGCGAGTCAGGCCCCCCCAACCACAGGAGAAGGGGGGATGAAGAAAGGGGGCCGCCCAGGTGAGGCAGGGGTCGATGATCGAGGGCCAACTTCATGCCTGATATCCTGAGGCGTTGGGGACCTGCTCCGCTGGGGCCGCCGCGGGGTTGGGCTCGACCTGATCTGCTTGGACCCCCGCGGGTTCGGGCTCGCCGATTCTGTTGTGCTTGAAGCACGCCTGCGGTGCCTCACCATGATGATGTAATCTCTCAGGTCAGTCTGGTTATGTACACGTGGCTGGGGATCGTCCCTAACAACCATGGACACTTGCAGCCTAAACGCCTGCTTACGTCGCGTGCTCTCGACACGCGCGAGCTCTGAAGTAGCTATGGTAGCTGCTGGGCTTATGTAGCTCTGAGGTGGCTGTTGCGTTTACTATAGCTGCGGCTGTAGTTGCTTTAGCTGCTGTCTAGGGCGAGGCTGTAGCTGCTGCTGTAGCTGCTGTAGCTGCTGCTGTAGCTGCTGTAGGTTAGACTGATATGACTAGGGCGGCTGTAGCTGCTGTATCTCTGGTGTAGGTGCTGCACCAGCGAAGCTGATGCACCCGCGCGCTCACATCAACGCAAGACCCCTGGCGAGCACACCGGCTACGAGTACGGGGGCCGAGGAGGGGGGGTCTTAAGACGCGCAGGGTGCCCCATGGGGCGACGGAGAAGGAGGGCGGGTCAGAGGATGGCGAGGGCGACGAGACGGAGGAGGGTTTGGAGGTGAAGGAGGACGAGCAGGAGTGGCAGAGGAGGACGAGGAAGATGCATGACTTCAGCGAGGGGAGACTTCCAAACTGACAACGCCCTGCCTCCCCACCCATTTGTTTGGCAAGGTTGGCCGCAAGGCTGGACCAAGTCGGCGACGCTGCTCGAGAGCGTGTAAACCATGGCCAGCTCAGAATACGCAAATACAACAGAGCACCTCCCCTAGCGTCATCGTGCACGCTGAGTGTGGCATGCACCGCATCACGACAAAGCTGCGCGAAAGACGTGTGCGCGTGTATGTGTATGTGTGTGTGTGCGTTTGCGTGCGCCTGTGTCCGTGTGTGTGTGTGTGCGTCGCACGCTGGGGCGCGTTAGAATGCGTTCTGTTTCCCTCAGTTATTGTTCTTAAATGTTTTCTGACGCCACCCGCCCTCGCCACGCCCGCCCCTATAAACGCCCCTCGCGAAGATGGTGGCCCCCGAGGGGGAGCCGCAATCGACTGCCCCCTCATCCCCTCCCGACCCAAGACCCCCAAGAGCCCCCCGAGAGGCTCGAGGGGCCCCCAAGACACCGCCAATGAGCCCCAAGAGGCCACAAAAGAAGCCCCCAAGAGGCCCCATGAGGCCCCAAACCTGCTTCCAGGATGCCTCCAGGCCTCCCAGAGGCCCCGCAGAGGCCGACCACGAGCCCCCAACGAACACCCATGAGGCATCCGACCCATCATCCAGGCAAGGTGGCTACATGAACAGACACATGTATATCCCTCTTGTTCTCTCTTTCTCTCTCTTCCTCTCTCTCTCTCTCTCTTTATCTCTCTATGCATACATATATATATACATCTATATATATATATATATATGTAGAACTAAATATGTAGAACTAAACCGCCTTCTCTATATCTCTCTCTTCTCTCGTCTCTATCCCTCTCGCTGGAACAACGCCTTGCAATCTGCCCATCGTTGCCCGTCCCCGCCTGAAGCTGACGACGCCAGGTATCAAAAGTCGAAGGAGCCCATGTCGTCAGAGTCGTAGCCCTTCTGCTCAGACATCTGACGGCGGCTCGCACGTGCAGGTGGTTCCTTACGCTCAGGTTGCGGCTTCTCCTTCGGCTCCTCCTTCGCATCATGCTTTGCCGCCTCCTCATCCTCAGGCTTTGTCTTTTCCTTGCGCATCGGGGCGACATACACAACTTTACCTCCTGGGCCAGATCCTTGTGCCTTCTGATCTCGGACGCTCCTTCCTTTGGCCACCAGTACTTGGTCAGCGAGTGCGTCGTCGTCGTCACTGCACATGCCGCTCCCGCTCGTATCATCTGAATCACGGATGTCCCTGGAAACTGCCACGGCTGGGTGTCCGCTCGTTGTCTTTGGCCCATGCTCCTCTTCGTCGTCAGCCTTGTCCTTCTTGCCGTTGCCCTGGTCGTCATCATCCTCACCCGCCGTATCTTTGTCATGCTCCTCATCTTTCTCCTCCTCCTCCTCCTCCTCCTCCTCCTCCTCTGCCTCTGCCTCTGCCTCAGCCTCGTTCTCCTCTTCCTCGCCCTCATCCTCTTCATCTGCTTCCTCTGCCTCCTTCGGCAGCTTCGGCTTCTTAGCCGCATCCTCTTTCGTTGTCTCCTCCTTCGCCGCTGCAGGCCGCTTCATTGCAGCCGCGGGTCTCTTCAAGACCACGGCATCATCATCATCTGTCCTACAGAACTTGTCGTTGCGGCCATTTTGCCCCGCCTGCTCTGCGCGGGCTGGGCGTTTCTTGGTTGCACCAATCTCCTTTGCCTTCGCTTTCGGCTTCGGCCCGTACTCCTTACCTGATGCTTTGAACATGTCTCTGATGTACTCGTGCTTCTTAACTTCTATCGCCGCTTTGTCTATCTTCCCTCGGAAGAATTCCTTCGCCATCTCAATGAACAGCTCCTTCCAGTCTGTGTAGAAACCCTTGATCACCATCTGGCACCTCATCTTCCAGCTTTCTTTTTCAGGCTTCTCGTAGATCGACACAAATTCGGATGTTTCGTCATTATTGAAACGTGTGAACGTCCTCACTTGAACTCTGCGCCCAGCTTTTGTGCTTTCTTCCCATAGCGTCCTACCCTCCTTCTTTTCTGCCTTCAAGGATTTGAATTTCTGTACTGTCAGTCCTGCCATCTTGTGCTTATCTCCGTCCTCCCACTCCGCCTCGACCTCGCTGTCCGAGTGGGCCCCCTCCTGCACGACGATCGGCAACGAGTAGTCTGGCACGGGAGTGTCCTGCGTGATGTCCATGCGCACGCCCGCCTCCCCTTTCCCAGCGCAGCTCAACGCCTCAACATCACAGCCATCGCAGCATCGCCTCCGCCGTCGCACGCACATCGACACCACAGCGTTTGAGATGGACGGTGCAACGGAGGCACGCACAATGAAACACACATATCCGCCACCGTGCGCATGGGCACGGAGTGGGCGCATCCTAATTTCCTGGGGGTTCATTAAGGTGGCCAGAGCCCTCGCTCTCGAATCTCTTGGGGCTTCCCGCGTGACCCCCGCGCGTTCCCGCGCGACATTTGGGGGCTATTTGTTTGACACCCCTCACGAGGATCGCGCCCCCCCGATATCGGACAAGAGGCTCCAAGAGTCCCCCCAGAGGCCCCGAATAGGCCCCCAAGATGTCCCAAGATGCCCCCCAAGAGGTCCCCAGAGGCCCCAGGGAGGCCAACCACAAGATCCCAACCAACACCCATGAGGCCTCTGACCCACTATACCCAGGCACGGCGGTTGGATAGGGGCGAGTGCCAATAGACAGAGACTGAGAGGAGACCGCTGCAGTGCGCTGTGCTACCCGGCCCCTCCAGAAGGTGCGCACTGAAGTCGTGCTGGTACTTGTCGCCATCGGGGAGGTCCTCGAGAGCAAACAAACGCACAATGACAACGGGGGGGTTCTAGGCCTTGCACGAAGGGGACACGACCAGGGAAGCACAAGTACACAACTACAACGGGGAGGCCCGAGATCTGCGTGCACTCCACCCCACGTTACCTCCCGCCAAACATCTGCATGCTCGAGCACAGCTGCTCTGCGTGGGCGGAACAGGCTAGCGCGCCGCTCCTCGGGGAGCCAGAATTGCTTGATCCAGTCGGGGATCGGGGCGTTCTTCTCCTTCTGCCTGCGGCCGCGGGCGCTGGGTGTCGCCGATGCTGCTGCCCCGCCACCATCAATGACGTCCGAATGACTTCCCGACTTTCGGATGTCGTCTGGGCGTCGCCGACGCTGCTGCCCCGACCAACCCCCGAATGACTTCCGAATGACTTCCGAATGACTTCCGAATAACTTCCGAATAACTTCCGAATAACTTCCGAATAACTTCCGAATAACTGCAGACAAAACCTGCATGTGTCTCTCTCGTTCGTTATTTCATCTCTCTCTCTCTCTCTCTCTCTCTCTCTCTCTCTCTCTCTCTCTCTCTCTCTCTCTCTCTCTCTCTCTCTCCTTATCGATCCCCCCATATGCCTCTCCTCTCTGTCAAATGTGGGAGGAAGATGCCGTGCTCGTGAACTGTGCACAAAAGAGGCGCAGACAAGTGAGAGGATCACGCCTGGCACACGCCTTCGTCACGGCCTGCGCCACGTGACGCAACATGGCCCTCAACGACTTCGCTGTCTGGGTAGACCAGCTGTCCGTCTCCTCGCCTAGGTGCCATATAGATTCCTTATCATCGGCCACCGCCTCAAGCAGTGGCTTCAAGATGGCCTGGTTGATTCCAGTGTCGGGGCATATGTACTGTCGCACCGCAGCCAGCAGAGGAGCATGCTTGACCAGCTCATCTTTGTCCACGGGGTCCTCACATGGAGGAAATGCGAGGGAGCGAAGCAGAACACGCGAGGGAGCGAAGCAGAACACGCGAAGGATTACGAGGGAGCCATGGTCCAACGATAAACCGAAGAAGCGGCACACATGAGGAGGGCAGCAGAGCTACGCAATCCGCACCGGCCCCGATCCTTCATATCTTGGGTGTACTCGATCATTTCGGGCGTCTTCATGAAGCGGCACAAGATTTTCTGCAGCCCATCGCCTGGTTTTGCCCTCGAAACTTTCTTCTTAGCAGACATACTATACAAGAGGACACCTGGGCCAAAACGGCTGGGCACAGCGAGCCTGACCCTGTCCATTTGCCCAGCTCAGAACCTACAACCCTTTCCCTCTCCTTGTTTTTGTTTTTTCTCTCTCTCTCTCTCTCTGCGGGGTTCTGTATTGTCCACAACAGAAAAGTCGGCTCTTCCTTCGGCTTCCTTAAAGGGCCCCAGAAAATTCAAATTTAGTTTTTGGAGTTACATGGCTGTTTTTCTATTGTGAACAATACAGAACTCCCTCCTCTCTATGTATACACATACAACAAAACATCTACATGTGCATATACATATGTTTTTTTATATGTGTATACATATATACATATATATAAACCCACATTACAGTTACATAAACATGCATACATCTATAGACACACATGAATATATCGAACCATATCGAGATATACATAAATCGAACCATATCGAGATATACATAAATCGAACCATATCGAGCAGACGACCTAACATTAAAGATCCACAGCGCGCGGATCTATAGCATCGATCCCCGCACCCTCTGGGTCAGCCCTCGCGCACATGAAACGTTGACCGTGGTCAACACACCCTTGACAGTGTCCGAACTGCCACCGCACTTGTCATTACCTGAAACACCCATCATCATACTGAGCATTGTACTCCAAAACAGACTAAGCCACGGCCCCTGACGCCTAGTAGGCACGGTAGGCCCACGCACTGGCGGCGGCGGCGATCTGGTGCGCCTTGGCCCTGATCTCCGCCTCCTCGGTGGGGGCCTGGACTCCAGCGGCCGCGATGCTGGCGCGCAGCTGCTCGAGGGGCGCCCTGTCAGCCGCCGTGCGCAGCCTCTTGGCGTCAGGCGGCGGCGCCGCCGCGCCACCAGGATCCCCATCACCAGGAGGCCGAACACGCGTCGCAGCCCTAGGGCCGAAAGACGCCGCGATCTTGGGGTGGGCCAAAAACTTCTCGGTGACCTCACCCGACGCCCCCAGCTCCTTGAGCAGGTCGGCCAAGCCATCTGCTCCTCCAGCTCAGCGGCGTCGGCGCGCAGCTTCGTGCCCTTCTCGCGCTCGGCCTCCAGCGTAGCCTGCGCCGCGGTGACCGCCTCCTGCGCCTTGGCCACCGCCGCGTCTTGCCTGCTGATGGCGTCCTGCTTGGACTTGGGCTTCTTCTGGAGAGTGAGCAGCTGCGCCACAACGGGCTTCTTGGCACGCACCTGCTCCGCCAAGGCCTGCCGCTGGACCGCCAACCGCTCGATCGTGTCGAGAATGTCCTTCCCTGGGCCGGAGAGGCCGCGCAGCACACGTAGCTGACCATCAAGATGTTCGAGCTTGCGCTGCTCATCACCCCCCTCTGAGCCCTCCTCGGCGTCAGCGCCGCTGGGCGCCTCCGCCACGGGGCCCTTCTTGCCCTCCGCCCGCAGGGTCTTGAGCTCCTCCCGCAGCCTGGTGAGCTCCCTCTGCATGGCGAGGTGCTGCCCAGCGGCCCCTGCGCCACCACCAGCACCCGTGGTGCCACTGTGGCCACGGCGCAGCCCCTCCTCCCCACGGGCGTGGCCCAGGAAGGTGCGGTCCTTGGCGCCGCCGCAGAAGTGGCAGAGCTGCTTGGACCCGAACGTGACACATGGCATCCCGACCTTGGGCCCACGCTCATACTTGCAGAAGCGGCAGTACCAGTCGGGCTTGGCCTCGCCACCGACGCGGCCCCCAGGCGCCATGGTCCCTCGCCTGCTCGGGAGAGCAACGATGCCAGCCACAAGGCCAGGAGAAACGCGCGCGTCGGGCGGCGCCAAGCAGAACTGCCTTGACTTGCTCGGGAAACAGAGCAATCCCGCTTTGGCACGAGGGCGCGGAAGCCCTCTCGTGCAGACATCTTGAGCCAAAATGGCTACGGCAAAGGCGGAGCAGGAGGAGGAGGAGAAGGAGGAGGAGGAGGAGGAGGAGGGAGGAGGAGGAGGAGGGAGGGGAGGAGGAGGAGGAGGAGGAGGAGGGAGGATGAGGACGGAGGAGGAGGAGGAGGAGGAGGAGGAGGAGGAGGAGGAGGAGGAGGAGGAGGAGGAGGAGGAGAAGGAGGGAGGAGGGAGGAGGACGAGGAGGACGACAAAGATGCCAAGAGCGTCGGGCGGGCGCCCGAGTGGCGCCGTCGAATCCGCAGGTTTTGCGTCTGCACCGCCACCACTCTGCGGAGCCCAGCGCTCTGGCGCGAGCGGGCCAGCGACCCTTCTCGCAAGGCACTCTGCTGACACGGTGAGCAGGAAGAGGAGGAGGAGGAGGAGGAGGAGGAAGAGGAGGAGGATACGGAGCAGGAGCAGGAGCAGGAGGAGGAGGAGGAGGAGGAGGGACGGGTGAGGAGGAGGAGGAGGAGGAGGAGCAGGAGCAGGAGCAGGAGCAGGAGCAGGAGGAAGAGGGACGGGTGAGGAGGAGGAGGAGGAGGTTGAGGAGGAGGAGCATGAGAAGGAGGAGGACGAGGAGGAGGATGAGCCTCGAGACATCCTCGGAGAACGACCCTAAGCCCCAAAACCGAGCGGCCACCCGAGGCCCCACGGGCTCAACGCCATGTCTGCGCCCCCCCCCGACGCCCAGCAGCTCTCGGGACACAGACCCACACACACACACACATACAAGACTGCAGTGGCGCTTCGCGCCATGCACCTTGGTCCTTGAAGTTTGGTACGCAGGCGGAATAGCAGGAAGGTCAAGCCGACAATTTAGCGATAACTCCTGGTTGCCTTTTCCGGCATCGCCGCTATAATAATGTTATTAGTTATCCTTCCTCCACGCTTCGTTTTCATTATTTCCGCCATACCCTGCGCATTCTCCCCATCCTCCTCAGCTCTTTTTTGCGGAGGCTCCTCCTTGGAGAGCCTCAAGGGGCCTCACACAGGTTGTTTCAGGCTTTCTGAAGGCCTTCTGGAGGCCTCCCGGGCGTATTCTGGGGGCCTCCAGGGGCTTCCTCGGGCCACCCTGCCTCCAGGTGCTCTTGGAGGCCTCTTTGGGGCCGTCCTGGAGGCCTCTTGGGCCATCTTGAGGTCACGTCGGTCACTCTCGGAGCGCTCTTGTGTTGTCTTGGAGGTCTCTGGGACGTCTCCAATGACCCTCCTGATCGCCCCAGGTGAGCTGGGAAGGCTTGGCAAAACGCCCTGCGAGGCCCGGTGGCCGCTTCGAGGCCCGTCTGGAGGGTCCCCAAGCCCCAAATCCCGGGAGTCCGTTTTTTTTATAGGGGGGGGGACGGGTTTTCCCCCCGCCCGGGCTTGCAAAAATATAGGAAGAGGAATCTATACACACATAACTGGGGCCTCCAGCGGCCCATCGGAACGATCCGGGCACCCCTGTGTACGCCTCTCGTTGAGGCTCAGCCACTGGAGAGCACCCCGAGGCTGGAAGGCCGCCGAAAACCGACGACGACCGCGGCAGAAAACCTCGAGCGCTGCCTCCTCGGAATCGGGCCGGCCGCCGCCGCCGGCCACGCGGCTCGCGCCTCGCGACGTCTGCAAACTGCAGGCGCGAGGCCAGGCTCGCCTGGAGCGTCCTGGGGTCGGACCGCTGGCCGCGGACTGGGCTCGTCGTCGACGCCGTCGTCCGTCGCCGTCGTCGTTGTCGGCTTCCTCGTCCGCCGACGTCCATCGCCGTCGGCGGCATCGTCGGCGTCAGCGTCTTCGTCGTCCTTCCACGCTGCTGGCGTCATCTTCCGTCTTCGGAAGTCGAAGTCGGAGTCCTCGCCGTCGTCCGTCGCCATCGGTAGTGGGAGGCCCGACGATCGATGATTGAGATTCCAGAAGCCTGGGCGATTTGGAGGAAGATCGGTCGATGATCGATCGAGGATCGACGATCGGGGTAAGAGGATCGTTTTAAGGTCGTGGTCGTCATCGATCGATCGAGGTTCGACAATCAAGGCTCAACGAAGTTTGACGATGCTGGACTTGTTTGGGTCTGTGGAGGCCCCCTGTAGACCTCTCCGAAGGCCTCTGGAACCTTCTGGGACCTCCAGAGGCCATCGTCGTCGTCATCGTCCGTCCGTCGTCGTCGTCCATCGTCCGTCGCCTGTGGTCGTCTGGCACCGTCGTCGTCCGACGTCTTCGGGACATCATCGTCTTCGCGATGTCGTCGTTCTCCGGGCACAATCAAACCAGATCGATCTCCTGACCCCTCCACAAACCATCTTGACCAATGTCTCGGGTTGCGTTCCGCCGCGACGTTGAATACCCAAAGAACCTCGCCAGAGAACCTTACAGTCGGCGACGACGACGACGCCGTGGTCCGCCGTCGTCATTGATCGTGTTGACGTCGTCGTCGTCGTCGTCATCGTCGTCGTCGTCCTCGTCGTCCTCGTCGTCCTCGACGTCGTCCTCGTCGTCGTGGGCGTCGTCCTCGCCGTCGTGGGCGTCGTCGTCGTCGTCCTTGTCGTCCTCGTCCTCGTCCTCGTCGTCCTCTCCGCAGTCGTCGTCGTCGTCGTCGTCCGTCCGCGGCGGCGTCGATGGCTCGCCCAAAATTTTCGTCGGGCGAGCCGGGCCCGCGAGCCGAAAGCCGGCTCTCACTCGTCGTCGACATGCGAGAGGAGGGAGGGAGGAGGCAGGAGGATGACTGTGCGATATTTTGCGCTCGATGTTCTTCGATGCAAGTGGGGGTGCAGGGAGGAGGCAGAAGGAGGATTGAGCTGTTCTGTCCACAATTGTAGGGAATTTGGGCCTCCCAGGGTCCATGGGTCCATCAGTGGACATGGCCTCCAAGGACGGGCGGAGCATCCTGAAGACGTCTTGGGAAATCCAGAGACCTTGTCTCCCAGAGGAAGAAAGAGATGGTATGCTTCATGAAAGCTCTTTGGGCCTCGTGGGGAAGGCATGGGTCCGTCTCAGAAGACTGGTCCCAACGCTCCTCAAGCCAAAGCAAACAAATCTGGGGGTTATGTTCACAAGGAAGCGGCTCTCCGACCTCTGGACCGCGAGCAGGGTCACGACGAAGGCGATGCTTTACTTCTCGTAAGCTCGGCGGCCATGGAAGCCGCTGACATAAGGCATCAGGTACTTGGCCATAGATCTGGCAGATTATGCCACGATGGTCGCTACATTCTCCTCCTCTGGTGATCTGCTAACCACCTCCTTCGTTGGTTGGAGGCAACTTGCAAGAACGCCCAGGGCTGCCCAGCAGTCGCGACTTCTCGGGGACGCAGCGCTCTCTCCTTCAGCCCGAGGGCATGGACGGGGGGCATCCGCCCCCACTCGACGCGAGGCCTACCAGCAGTGGAGGCGAGGCTACGTCCTCCACGGAGCGCCGACGACCCTCAGAATCCTTGCTCGTGGCACCAACATGTGTGCTTGAATGCGGCCCGGAGACACACACACACACACGTACGTAGACACACATCCCAGGATGCCTGTGTGTCGGTTGTCCCTCCTGAGTGCTGTCGACCGGAGCCCCTCCATACGACGCAGGCGGCGCATCGAGGGCCGACACGGGCCGCGTGCTGTCGGCGGAGCCGAACGGGGAAAACGCACGCTTGCGCTAACTGAACCACTTTGGCCAGCGGCCGCAACAAAAATCAAACCCTGCAGCCCTAAACCCCAAACCCCAAACACTTATGCCCCAAGCCCTAAACTTAGGTCGGGCCTGTCCCCCTACAGGGGGATTTTGGATGAAAAATTCGCCGGCCCAACGGGCCAGAGGCGTGCTAAGATCTCCGGTAACTTGTTAACAATATTTCTAGTTCGCGCGCGCGGAGCGGCCCCTGGGGGCCCCCGGACGAAAAGTACCCCGGCAAGGTCCCGAGAGAAGCCCGGGAGAAGCCACCAGACCACTCCAGGGGAGGGTATTTTTCGACACCCCTCACGAGGATCGTGGCCTCCGAGGGGGGAGCCGCAATCGACTACCCCCAAGAGCCCCCCAAGAGGCCCTGGGGGCCTCCAAAACGCCGCCAAGGAGCCCCAAGAGACTCCCAAGAGGTCCCCAAGAGGCCCCCAAGAGGCCCTAAAGAGGGCTCCAGGGCCGGCGGCATGAGCAAAGCGATTAAATAAAAAAATCAAAACATATTCCCAAAATGCTCAAACATACTTTTCAAAATATCGCCCCCAGACTATTGTTGGACTATTTCTGAACATCCCTCCTGCAGAGGGACAGGCCCGACTGAATAATCCTGGATTCCGGCGTTGGCGGTAAAATATTTCGGTCACCTTGGATGCCAGACTATTATTACCACCACCGCCGAGATCGGGATCTTCTTCCCTTGGTGGAGGCACACCGCCGATACCGGTGTGTTGGTGTCCTTCTAGGGAGGGAGCCGCTGGACCGGGACGAGCGCCCCGCAAAGCCGGGGCGCCAGGCGTCGGCCGCCGGCCGCGCCTCTTTTGCACTGCTGCTGCTGCTTTTGCTTCTCCTCTTGCTCTCCCCCCCCTTGCTGCTATCCTCTCTCCTCCTTAGCCACGGGGCGACCTTCTCGCGCAGGTAAAAAAAAAATGTTGGTGTCCGCCTCTGGGCCTGCGACAGGCCCCCGGGACACCCGGGCCCCAGGCCCCGAACCCCCTGCGGCCGAGCCGCGGCGGGGCACGCCCGGAGCTCAGGGCGGGCACGGCGAGCGGAGGGCGCGCGATGGGGGCGCGGGGCGGCCGGAGGAGCACGGGGGGCGAGGGAGCCAGGCTCGGCCCACGCCCGCGGGGGCCAGAGCTGGACCAGCGCCAGGAGAGCCCAGAATCGAATCGACAAGTCGGATCGGCGATCGAAATGAATCGGATCGGCGGAAATCGGCAGCCGAGCCGGAAAAAGTCGAATCGGCGGAAATCGGCAGGCTAGTCTGCCTCCAATAAGGAATCGGATCCCAAATCGGAACCCGAAATCGAAATCGAATCGGAGTCGGAATCCATCGAAATCTAATCTAATCGTATCGGAGGAATCGAAATGAGCCCTGCAGCGCTCTCCACGACTCGCAGAGTTACGGTCGGACCCGATGGGGCAAGGCACGCGGAGAGGACACGAGACCCTTCCGAGGGCCACGTCGCCACGCACGCTGGGGCCCAAACTGGGTCGGGCATGTCCCCCTACAGGCAGAGTTTGGGCGAAGAATCAAGAATACACCAAACACACGCCCAAATCGTCAAAAAATTGTAAAAGAATCGTCCCCCGACCATTTTTTAACAAATTCCGAATATTCCTCCTGCAGAGGGACGGGCCCGAGTTAAGGCTAAAACTGGACCAGCGCGCTCCACGACTCGCCAAGTAGCTGCTCGCAAATGGCGTGGATCCACTGCATCGAGGCAAGCAAGCTCCACTGCGTCGAACCTCATGTGTTCTGTGTGGACGTCTGCGAGTGTGCACTTTGCGAGTAGCGGGAACGCGCTCGGCGAAACAATCGTCCTGTGGCCGATGGATCATCGAGACTGCTGGGGCATGTCGAGGCGTGCCAGCGGAGAGCGACCTCGCGCGCGTGGACCCGCGCGATGTGAGGCGGCCGAGTTGCCGTTGGGCTGGGTCGCAGGGATCCCTGGGTGCGGGAGGGCACGCGCGGGCGCTGGCAGAGACGCGGATGCTCACGCGCTGGGGGGCCTAGTGGTTGCAGCACACTGCCCTGGCTCGTGCGTGTCTACTGGCGCTGTCAGCAGCTAGCCCAATCGCGCCAGCGGTGGCTGGCGCCTGGTTGGTCACGGGTGCTACGTGGCTCGAGCGTGCGAGGTGACAGCTCGCGTCCAGTTGCCGCTTGTCCTGCCCATTTGCTGAGCGAGGCCCGGCGTCCCTCCGTGGGCGCAGAAGTTGCCGGCGTCGCAATGGAACCATCAGGTCCTGGCTCCAGCAGTGCGCGCACACGATCAATAATGGTTTTTGCTCCAACTGGTAACTGGTAGCCCTCAACGAGGACGGCCTCAGACTGGGGAGACGTAAAATTCGGGCTCGGGGGACTCGGACTGTCCTGACGGGGCCATCATGAAAATGACGAGACCCAATCTGAAATTTGACGCGAACACCCGCTGCAAAAATCACACAGCAAACTGGACCGTCAAAATCCAGGTCGCGCTAATCAAAAAGCGGCGGTCAACCTGTATTCCGGCGAACTCGGGTCTTACGTTTGCCCCATCAAACCGTATCGCGCATTTCTGCCGCCTCCGGGGCTTCGCTGTGCGCCGTGGAGGGAAATCTTATGTGGAGATGTCTTCGAGCTTGGTCAGTGGCCATGGTGAGGGGCGCGAGCTAGCCGAAGTGTGGTGGCCCAGCCGCTGAAAAAAAGAAAGCCGTGCCTGGTGGTCGGCAAGGCGCGTGGCGAGACCGCGATGTCCGGCGCAGGACTCAAGGATTTGCTCGACGTGCGTTAGGACGCAACTTCTAGGAGGTCTTCGTCGGAAGGGTTGAAGCACATTAAGCCTCATTGGGGGGCCGCTACGCCGGATTAGGCCGCGGACTAAGCGGGATTTAACTGGGTGAGGCGGGATTGAGCCGGACTGTGCGAAATGAAACCGGACTACGCTGGATTTCGAACCAGCGCCAAGGTCAGAATTTGACCTGACGTGCGCGTGGAGTGGAGTGGACTGCGCGGCACGTGCGAGGGCGCGTTGGGGCTAGGTCGGGCATGTCCACATACAAGCGGATTTTGGACGAGACATAAACATTGTCCAGCAAAAACTCCCGGACGGCCAAACATGGTAGAGACATCGTTCCCAGACTAATTTGCGACTATCTTTGAGTATTCCAACCGTCGAGGGACAAACCCGACTTCAGGCCAGCCGGCTGCCGCGTGGCGCTGGGGGGCACCAGACCTGCTGCCATAGGCTAGGCGGTGCCGGCTTCGTGGGCCTCGCGGCGCGGGCGTGGGCGCAGGGAGAAGCGCCCTGTGGGCCATGCGGGTGGCAGCGCGCGAGCTTGGAGGGAGCTCTGCTCGCCCACGCTCCTCCAGTCCCCCATTCGCGACGGCTCGATCCCCCGCCTCCTCCCCGTCCTCCTCCCCCTCCCCCTCCTCCCCCCCTCCTCCCCCCGTCCGACGGCCAGGAAGGAAAGAAACAAGGAGCATGTGGGACGTTTCGGGAAGTCCCGCACGTCGAGGCGCGGCAGGAGGATGACCCCGAGCCTCCCGCTGGCACCTCAGCCCTTCCACGACGAAGAGGGCAACGGCGACTACCTCCCCCCCAACCTTGGATGCTCATTCTGGGGACCTTCCTGGAACCACTCGCTCCACTCTTGCGTCGAAGCTGCGTCGAACGTCCGTCAAGTTGGACACTGGGTTGAACCTGAGTCGAACTTGAGTTGAATGTGAATCGAACTGGGGTCGAACTAGAATCGAACAGATGCGTTACGTGGGCCCCGGGAAATAAAGTCCCCCAAAACGAGCATCAAAACCGCCCTGCTGCGAGGAGCGCTCCTGGACACCAGAGCCCGTGACCTCGGCCCCGCCGCGGCCCCCGCGGCTTGCTCTGCGGAAGAGGAGGAGGATCTCCGCGAGACCGGGGCGGGTGCGGAAGGGGAGGGGCAGGAGGAGGGGGAGGAGGAGGAGGAGGAGGAGGAGGAGGAGGAGGAGGAGGAGGAGGGGAGGAGGAGGAGGAGGAGGAGGAGGAGGAGGAGGAGGGGAGGGTGAGGAGGAGGAGGAGGAGGAGGAGGAGGAGGAGGAGGAGGAGGAGAAGGAGGAGGTAAGATAAGGTAAGGTAAGGCGCTTCGGACGGCTTCCTTCATGCTCTAGCTCGAGCGCCAGACGCGCTCGGGCTATACTTTGCATAGCCATCAGCGTGAGATATGGAGCGGGAGGCCTCTGCTCCAGATGAGGCCTGCCCATGCGACCTCCGCCCGAGTACCTCGGGGGGAGGTGGCAAGACGGCGGCGGGGCTCCTGCCCGCCTCTGGTAGACCGATCTGCGCCGCATTCCCTGCCTGATCCCGATGGGGGGCGCACTGGCCCTCCAAGGGAATCGGGAAGGTCGTACTTTGCATATCCGTCCATTATCTCGCGGAGGCGGCTGCTGCTGGCCCCTTTGGCGAACAGCTGCCGCAAGGGGCACTGGTCGGGTTCTCTCGTGCGAGCGAGGGGGGAGGCGAGGGTCGACACACGACACTCTCGAGGAGGGGGCAGGGGGGCGGTGAGCTCTTGCCCACCTCTGGCTGATCGATCTGCTCCGCACTCCCCGCCTGATCCCTATGGGGGGCACTCTCGCCCTCCAGAAGAATCGGGAAGGTCGTACTTCGCATATATGTCCTGAGCGGGCGCTTGCCAGGCCTATAGCCTCGAGCGCGCATGCCTGGCTTGCTACGTGGGCTCATCTTGTGCTCACTACTTGCTGGTCTCAGCTGGTGCACCTGCTGCTCTGGGGGCTCTGGATGTCCAATCACCCGCTGCGGCTGCCACGCCGCTGTTGAGGCCCAGCTCGTCGACGTAGTTGATTTCGTCGGGCCAAGGGCCGACGAGCGATTTATCCTCTGTCTGAATCTGGTTCAGGCCGTACCTCAAGCCCATCACTGCTTTCGCGAGGATCGTGCGCTGGCTCGCCAGCTGCCTGATGACTTCCTGGCGCTCCAGCATCTCTTCCTGCTCCATGACCACTGGGGGCGCAAGCCGCTCAAGCGACAAGTGAACGAGCGTCTGCTGCCTGATGAGCGCTGAGATGATGCCGTTCAGCGGGGCGATCTGCTCGTCAAGCACAGGCCTCGTAGACCTCGGCCTGCTGTTGCCTGTCATCAAGCGGCCACTGGCGCTGTTGTAGCGGATGTCGAAGTGCGCGAGGTGCGCTGGTGGCGCTGCTGGTGGGCCATGCCCTTGTGGCAGCATCGCTCTGGTTGTAGTGAGGTGGCGAAGAAATCGAGGAGAGGCGAGCTCGCACTTCTGAACCAAAATTAGCTGAGTACCGTCTGCATAGTAGGAAGAATAGAGAGACCTTCTGCTGGTGTGCAATGAGAATGGGCTCCTGCTTTCACATATGTTGTCCGATCCGAGTATTTAGAACGTAGGTAGATCGGAGCTTCGTAGGAGCAAACACGCGTGTCACTTCACATCTGCTGTCCGATCCGAGTATTTTGGAAGATCGCAACTTCGTGGGAGCAAGCGCACATGTCACGTCACATCAGCATGCCGTGGAGGAGGTGGTGGTAGGTCGGAGTAGGAATGAGAGACGTAGTTGTAACAACTCTCAGAGGCCGTGAAACATCCTGTACAATGTCTTAAGGGTCTGCTCGCTGATCCGAGGGGGGCTCTGGAGGTCTGCTGAGGCCTGGTGGGGGTCCCAGTTCGGCAATCCTTCTTCGCCTGTCTCGGCAGCTTGTAGCTGGAGAATACAATTCTTGGAAGTGAGGACTGATCGTGCGCTGTCTTGTGAGCGCTCCATATCTCCTGGGACCCATGCTGATTTCATTTGCTATCTTTTCCCTTTCTGAGTGGGGCGGCCACGCTGCCTCGCGAGCACCTGCGGGGGCGCGCGCGCGGAGGAGGGAGGACGGACCGATGGCTACCTGCGTCGGTGCCTCTGTCGGTGCCGGTTGCACTCCGCTTGGCGTCCCCGTCGCAGTCACTGGCGAACCCTGGCGTTCCTGCGCAGCTGCGCCTCCACGGCTCGCTCGAGGGCGGTCTTCGGTCCCGCTCCTGTCGCTTTGGTTCCGTTGCAGCAGAGTAGCACCGTGGTCATCGCTTCCTTGAGCTTGACGGGGCTGTAGTTCCTGGCGGCCAGGAGCACCTGCTCTCCAGGCTCGCTCTTCTGCAAGATGGCCACGATCGTGGGCTGGGGCGCCAAGGCGTAGTGCATCCTGCCCATCCGCTCCGTCTCGTCCAGATCCTCCTTCTCGTAGGTCTCCGCGACCTGGAAAGTGAAGATGGTCTCCTGCGCGATGAGGAGTCCGAGAGCGTGGTTCGTCGCCTCGACGTACTCCTGCAGGATGGCTTTCGCCGCTTTCGCTGTCTCGCTCCCTTGGTCGCCGTCGAGGGACTCCCACATCCCCCTGATGGCTGCCACTGCCACGTGGGCGTGAGGCGGGCCCAAGCCGTGCTTCTTCCCTGCTTTGCGTACTTATTGTCCGTATGTGCGGGCTGCTGCGATCGCTTCCTTGAATGGTGGGCTGGCTACTGGAATGAGCCAGAAGTCCGTCGACGCGTGGCACAGCTCCCTGATGTCTTGGCTGTTCCGCAAGCTCAGCTTCTGGATCGTGGTGAGCTTGTTGCCGTAGCCCTCGTTCTCGAAGTCTAAGTCGTCCCCAGCAGGTGCGCGGCCGCCTCCCGAGCCACTGGCTGCTCCGCCCTTGCCCGTGCTGCCCTTGCCCTTCTTGGCGGCTCCCGCGGCTCCTGTGGCTTGGGGCCCTCGCTTTGCGACCTGCCGCCCCGCTTGCGCGGGGAGCGCCATCGTGGGCTGGGCGAAGATCAGCTGGTCCAGGGTGGTGAGATCTGAGGCGTTGCTGAAGAGAGGGTAGCTCTTGAGCCTCATAGCCACAGATAGCACATGTGAGCGTGTCAGGGATGATGACCTCGTGGGCCCACTTGCTACGGTCTTCGTAGCACGTGCCGTGTTTCTCTTTAGCCCTCTTCGCATGGTCCAATGCCGTGATCCTATTGCTGAAAGAACTGAGGCACCATGTGCACTGGTTTGTAACGATAAGTTTTGAAAGCAGGGTGTGTGTTTTGTGGACTCCTCGTTTGTGCGCACCTAGCCCTTGTGAGGTAGCGAACCGCGCAGCACAAGTAGATTCCACTCCGTTGTCGTCAACGCACGCATGATCGCACCAGTACGGTTTAGAGATGTGCTCCTCCCCCTCCTCCTCATTCACCTCCTCCGACGCATCATTCCAATGCGTCGCTGCACTGCGCAAGATGGCGGGGTCGGGGTTGATCCACTGATGCCATTCCTCCGTCTCCCATGTTAAGATGTGTAGGTCGGACCTCCTCCTCTCCCACCATCCTCTCATGTTTTCATCTGTTTGCGCTAGTTGTTCTAGGTCGTCGAGGTATTGTTTGGCCATTGGGGTCAAATCGTTACCAATCCAGTCGCCGTTTAGTAATCTTCTTTTGTTATGTAGTCGGTCCATCGTAGAGCCGCCAAAGATTGCCGCAACCACATTAGCATGTTCTGCATGATACAGTGCCAATTCTTGGTACCACTTGAGCCTGCGAGTGCGTAATGCAACTGCCGATCTCTCTAACCTCCACCATTTAAACACCTGTTTTGTGCTTTGCACCTTGTGTCGCCTGCTTCTGTAGTCCAGGACATTGCTCCTCTGGCGAGAGTACGAAGATATTTCCCAAATAGCGCGTCCAGTGCATTGGTGCCGGCTGCTGGTAGGACGAGGGCTGTGAGGCCGCTAAGGCCGGCTCCGAATACAAATGCCGTAAACATCATATTTTTAACTGCAAAGGCTGCTTTTGACACCCAAAAAGTTCCTCCTTGCCTCCATGCAAGGCGTATGGCAGCGCATCTCCTTTGCATTTCGCCTGAGAGCCCTTGGTCGGGCGGAAGGTACGGTCCTAACACGCGCATCTCTCTGAGAGGTAACCCCTTTATTTCTTTGCTCCTTCTTATCTTCCTCGTGCTCGCGTGGCTGCCTCGGCCTCGTAAGCTGAGGAGGTGGTTCGTTTTTCCAGCGTTCAGTTCCCAGCCGCCTGTGGCAATAGTTTGTTCCGGCGCTGCCGTCGCCCCATTGAGGTGCTCCACTATTGTTGTAGCACTTGCTGCTGGTAGCATTGAACGGGTTTTGGTGATATCGTCCATAAATGTGTTGAGGGCCAGGTCGCACACTTTGCCAGTGATAGGGTGCGGCGTGTCGTGCAGCCGTTGTCGAGGGTCCTGTCGCTCCTGGGTGTTCCACTTTTCCACGTAGATGTTGTATCCATGGTTGAATTGTCTCGGCGCCGTAGTAAATCCCATCTGTGACCCTGTAGTTGTTGCCATTGTCGTCTCCCCTTCTGCTGCATCCATGGTGAGGGTCGTGTAACCGCTCGCGTTCACTGCGTGTGGCTTGTCCCATTCGTCGGCTTGTTTAAAGGCAACTGCCTGCAGTAGAGACTTGTGTGTGCTGGCGAAAGCGCTGGAGCAATCGTAGTTGGTGAACACAGTGCTATATCCATGCTGTTCTGCCTTCCACTTTGCCGTCATAATAGTAGCGATCGAGTTTTCTCTGCACCTGTGGGGGAGTCCTCCATGGGCCCAGGGGGGGTGCTGCTGGGGCTCTCCTCTTTTGTGGGTCCCTGCAAACCAAGACATGCCCGTGCTGCAATATGCATGCATCACTCTTTTCCCCTGGATACCATCATTCCCGTTCCCCTTGTCTGCATCGAATGCCTTGGATCGGTGCCAGTCCAGGGGTGTAGTCTGCGTCGTGCGGCATTTCACAAGCACCTCAGTGAGTCTGTCGTGGAATAACCTGTTGCTGCCGTCTGCCGCCACTTCAATACCTTGTCCTGCGTACTGTCCCCTTCCAACTGTGTAGTTCACCACGTCGTTTTCTTGCATAACCAGGCCCTCTCTAACACCTAGTCGTCCTCCGTCCCATCCCATGTTTCCTAACAGTTGCCGTCCCCTTCGAAAACTGCATGCTGTACTCAACTTATCCAGCTCCTCTTCGTCGTTCCTTTTCTCAGCCTCTCTGATTGCTCTAGCTTCTCTTCGCTTGCTAAGTTCGCCTGGGCTGCCGAGGTTGATCTGCGGGTCGAGTAAGAGCAAGGTGGCTTCTACTGGCAATCCCCATTCTGGCCACGCTCTCCTCTTGCCTGCTCTCTTGCTGTACTGCAACATGCTCCTCCTGTCCTGCGCTACTCTCGCCATAAGGTCGTGATCGCATGGTAGTGGCATTTGGTCGGCATAGTACTCCTCATGCTCCTGTAGTTGTTGCTGCAGCGAGATCGGGACAGTTCCTAATCCACCCTGGGAGGGGTCCTTACTTAGTTCCTGCTCCCACTTGTTGTTATCCCAGTGTGTCTTGGGTGAGAAGTAGTACCTCTTTTTTGGTCCTCTGCCGTTCATCTGGTACTGGATTCGCAGCCGGTGCATTTCTGCAAAGTCGCTCCTCTCATGTGCCTCCCAGATCTCCTCCACTAGCCGCTTCTTCCTCTGCTTCTCGTGCGTTTCCCTGATCTGCTTCAATACTGCCGTGACTTCCTTCAGCTGCTCTCTGATGCTCTCCTGCTCCTCGTCTGTTACCTCGGGCCCTAGCTTTGCTCTGATGTCTCTTCTTCTGCCCAGGAGTTGTTGCCTGCGTTGCTTGAGGAGTTGCGTCGAGGCGTCTGGCTGTTGTTGTGTCTGCCCAAAGGTTTGTCCTAGTGCTGTCCTGACTGCTGTGGAGTAGAGGTGTCAAGAGCGATCGGGCGTCGGTGCTGCTACTGCTTCCTCCCAGTCCTCCGCACTTATTGCACCTAGCTCTTGATCGACTGCTCGTAGCCACTCCTCTCTCTTCCTGCCCTTCCTCACGCATGCCATAAGTGCATCCCTGTCCAAGCGTAGTCGTGGTGGTGGCCGCGTTCGTGCGAAGTGCCTCATGTTCGGGTCGAGGATGAGTCCGACTGGTACGTGGTCTCGAAGTCCTCGGGACCTGATGGTCTGCAGGCGCTTCCCTGCCGTGTGGAGGGCCAAACAACGCTTAACTAGGTGCAGGGCTCCTGCTGGGATCGCTATATGGTCGATTCGCGAGTTCCCCCCTTGCGTGCCGTAGTAAGTGGGCCCTATGTCGTACCTAGTTGTAACTACTGAAACTGTGCTGCTAGTGCAGAGTTCTCTGAACATTCTCCCGTTTTCGTTTTCCAGCCTTCGCTCGATCCCCCCGACACAGCTGTCCATACTCGCCTGCACTATGCCGTCCGAGTCGCGGTGCAGTCCCATGTCACTGTTGAGGTCCCCTCCTACCACTACCATTGTCCTGACTCCTAGCGCGTCCGTGGTGTGCTTGCCAATCTCGACGTAGTTATTGAGGTGGGTGGGGGCGTAGTAAACTGGGAAAAATGCGTAGTCTTGCCCTGGGGTGTGCAATTTAATGCCTGCTACTCGTCCCTGGAGCTGCGTTGGTGGATGATAGATAGCTCTGAGGCTGGTCTGCGGGACCAGCTTGCTAAGTAGGATAGTAATTCCGCAAGCTTTCGTGATAAATCTTCCCTTGCGTGCACCAAATCGTAAACACCAGTGGTTTGGGAGTAGTGTTTTTTTTTATATATATATATATATATATATATATATATATATATATGTAATACTGGTTCTGGTCCACACCATTCGGCACTGCCGCAAATCATAATGATGTCCCACTGTTTGAGTCCCAAGCTGATGTCTGTAAGTCTCTCGATTGTCCCCGCTGACAATGGGTTGTACACAGCAATGCGCATGAGAGCAGAGCGGTACGCGGGTGCCCCCCCCCTCACCTGGCCATCTCGGTTAGGAGGCGTAGTCGTGTAAAGGTGTAAAATGGGTGCTTTCGGTAAGTCGATCGCTCCCCCTTAACCCTTTAAGCCGACTAGAAGGAGGAGGAGGAGGAGGAGGAGGAGGAGGAGGAGGAGGAGGAGGAGGAGGAGGAGGAGGAGGAGGAGGAGGAGGAGGAGGAGGAGGAGGAGGAGGAGGAGGAGGAGGAGGAGGAGGAGGGGAGGCAAAGTGATCAACGGGCGAGAAGACGAAACTCATGCCAAACCCACGAGCGTCACGCCCAGCTGTTCGCCAGCGTGGCCGCGCGGGCACCCCCCAGCTCTTCTTCTGGGAGCGGGGCGGGCCGACAGAGAACCGCTGGCAGGGGCAGGGGGATAGAAGAGGGCAGGACGGCGAGGAGCCGAGGAGCGAGAAGAGGGGGGACGGGGAGGGAGGGGAGGGGACCACCCCCCTCCTCTCGCCGCTCAGCAGGAATTCACGACGCCGGGTTTCGGGGCACTGCTCGACCTCCAGAGGTTCTCACCGGGCCCCAGGGGCAGGCAGAAGGCCACTGCGGATCGAAACGCGAAGCGCCGGCGTTCTGGAGAGAAAGGGAAGGGGGGAGGGAGGGGCGAAGAGGTAGGAGGTAACTTCTGGGACGTCTCGGTGGAAGCATGAACCAGGGCTGAAGCAGGCTCGACGCGGGTACCACTAGGCTGGAATACGCCACGTTCACGCCGGGTTCAGTCAAGGACTGAGCCGGATCTGGGATTGAAAAGGATTCAGAAGGGCTGCGAGGAACTAGGCCGAATTACCCCACGTTTTGACTACAGCCGAAACATACCCTGATATTTCCTGAAACAAGCCTTGGCCAGTCTGCTGTTGATGCTGAGGGGGCGAACGTGCTCAAGAAACTGGGCCAACTTTCCGGCAAGTTGGTTGAGAAATGGTGGCCCAGCTTTACGGGAGGAGGTTTCTTAAAAAGATGCTCGACTGTATGGAAAAAGCTCGACTAGAGCCATATCGCGCGCTTCGTGCGCGCTGGAGTTCTGCTTGATCACCACGCGCCTGGACATTCAATCGCGAAGCATGCTCGAGCATAGGGACAGTAACGCGGACGCGAGAGAGTGAGAGAGAGGAGGGTGAGGAGCGTAGAGGGAGATCAGAGGATGCATAAGGAAAATGAGACGCCCGAGTGACAATGAAGAGGGTGGGCGGATGACAGAGGAAGGAGGCGGGACAAGGGGGGGACAGGGGGGGGACAGGAGAGAAGGGGACAAGATGGATGGGTCAACAGGAAGAAGGCAGCAAGGTACCGGGGCAATGGGGGCAGTAGGCATCAGCGGGAGGAACCAGAATGGAGGAAACCACAGACGGAGCAGGATCAGGAAGAAAAAGACGGATGGCCAAGGGGGGATGCAACATAGAGATGAAAGGGGCAAAAAGAGGAGAAGGCCACAGGGAGGAGAGATGATGCAAAGGAAGGACAAGGCGATGTTCAGGCGGAGGGAGGTGGAAAGGGGGAGGAGAGAGAACGATGAGGGTACGCTGGTGGATGCAGGAAGGGTCAGGCAGGGTTCCAGCCTTGAATGGAGGAGTCTCTTCGGGTGCTTCCTCGGGCTGTCAGAAGGCAGTCTGAGGGGTCAGGAACATTTGAGGGAACACGCCCAGAGGACTTGCCTGGGGACCTGTCCAAGATCCTCGTTGAATCTCGTAAAGCCGTTCTGGGATCGGCTTGGAACTATGTTGGGCCGTCGTTGAGGCCTCTTCGGACATCCCAACCCTCTCTGGGTCCTCTAGGGGGTATGTTGGAGCTGTACTTCAGCTATGTGGAGCATGTTTTCGCTGTCATCCCATACCCGTTGTGGAGCAACCTGCTAATGTCGTCACCGATGGAAAAATCCAGGCGCCGTGCTCGCAGCCACGATTGCTGGCTCATTGAGCTAGCATCGCTATGAAGAATCTGCGCGCATTGCTTCCAGCAGCAACGACCGTCGGCTCATTGAGCCCGCATCGCTGTGGAGCGGCCTAGTCTTCTCTCCAAAGACGACAGCCGCCTCCTAGCAAAAACATGGCAGCACGGCACTGCTCAGTCTGAAGAGCCTTGTGAAGTCCATGCTACATCACCGTGCTTCTTGCGGCTGAGAAACGAAAGCCAGAGATCAACCCAACGCAAAACAGCGATGGCAGCCTCTTCGGGCCCTCTCGGGGAAGGGCTTATTTGACGTAACCCCAAAGGGTCTTTGGAACCCTCCCTCCAATTTGTGAAATTAAGTATCTTTCGGTGGCCCGACCGGTGTCCCACCAGCAAAGGGAAGTCAATCATGTGTCTCCCGCTGAACCGCCAGCAGCGTTTTCATGGAAAATATTGGTTCAGACACTTGGCACTGAAAAGGATTATCTTGAAAATTCCATCCTAGGAGGACCGTTGATGCACAGGCCCCGCGCGGGCCAGCAGAAAATCCATCCACTGCAGCGTAAACAATACAAAACGATGGCGAGTTCGTACTGCCCACACTGGAAAATTCGCCATGTTGGCAGCTCGCGCTGGCCAACCGCCAGCAGGAGTTCCGCCCGCAGTGCTAAGCAGACGACTTCCAGCAACATCGTGAATCAAAACACAATTGATTGTTCCGTTGGAAAACGACCCCCGAAGGTTACCCAGCCCGCCCAACAATAGAGGGAAACTAATCCCACGTCGCCGCGCGCGCCGACCAGGCGCCAGCAGGAGTTCTGCCAACAGCGTTAGGCAAACGACTTCGAGCAAACTCGCGAATCAACATGAAGCAACCACTATTGGAATCCTCGTGAGACCATGCTCACACATCCTCCCGCGCGCAGGGTCACCCAGAATGGAATACTCCGCTGGAAAAGTCAAGACCAAACATTATCCAGCTCAACCAACAATAGAGAGAAACTGATGTCACGTCGCCGCGCGCGCCGACCAAGCGCCATCAGGATTTCTGCCAGCAGTGCTACGCAAAACGACTTTGAGCAAACTCGTAAATCAAACCGAATCAACTCGCTCTCTACAATCCTCATGAGAAAATGCTCACGAACACTCCCCTGTGCAAGGTGGCCCACAGAGGAATCTTCCGCTGGAGAGATAAGCTCCGAATATTTTCCAGCCCGCCCAACAATAGAGGGAAACCAACCCTATGTCGCCGCGCGCGCGGACCAGGCACCAGCAATGCTAGTCAGACGACTTTGAGCAAATTCGCAAATCAAAAAGGCAGACATCTGTATTGCAATTTTTCTGAGACGATGTTCGCAAACCCTTCCGCGCGCAGGGCAAGTAGCCCGAGATGAATTCTTCTGCTGAAGAAATACCGCCAACGCATTACCCAAACTGCCCAACAATAAACATCAGCTCATCCCACGTCGCCGAGCGCGCCGGCCAGGCGCCAGCAGGAGTTCTGCCAGCAATGCTAGGCAAGCGACTTTGAGCAAACTCGCGAATCAACACGATGCAGTTGCCGTTTGCAATTTTCATGAAAACAATGCTCACAAACCCTCCCGCGTGCAGGGTAGCCCCCACAACATATTTTTTCGCTGGAGAAGCACCCCCCCCCCAACACTACCCAACCCGCCCAACAATAGAGGGAACATAATCTCCGCCGCGGAGACGAGGTTTTAGGACAAGTTTCATTCGCCGCCGAGGGATCGGGGGGGGGAGCGACGAAAGACCCTTTGAGGTTAATAGCTGGCCCTCTCTAGATGTTTGGCCTCCTTGTGGCCCTACGGGGCCCTTTTCGAAAATTTGGTCGCCTAGCGGCTCTCCTGAATCCCTCGGGAGCTCTTCCCCATGTGAAAAGAGGGAGGAACATGGAGCGCCGAGGGAAGGAGGAAGGACGAGCCAGGATACAATCGGAAGGAAGGATGACATAAGACCCTGCCTCGGGGGGGTCGAGAGAGAGGTAGAACGGAGGGAGTGCAAGGAATGGGGCGGGATCTCTGAGCATCGTTTAACCGATCCCTATCCCCACTCGCGTGGCCTGGGCCCCACTGGCCAGTTTACCCCCCTAGATGGGGATACAAGGAGTTCCTGTCAGATTTCGAAGGGTATATTTAAAACTGGGATCGCTTAAACGGTACTGAATATCACAGCGTCCCTCCGTTCAAGTCGACGCACCCCTCACACGCATCGTGCCCCCCAGGGGAGCGTGGACCCTCTTGGAGTGCCTTGGCTGCCTGTGGGGCCTCTTCGCCTGTCTCTTGAAGGCGCCTCGTCTCGGGAATAAGGTCTTTGAATTTCCAAAGCATAGTTTTCCAGTCATTTTAGTTTGAATTCAGAAAACTGGTTGTTGAATTCAGAAAACTGGTTTTTGATTTAAGAAAGCATTTTTTATGAAAAAAACCACCCTTGACAGTCCCAGGTTGCCCATGGGGGCACTGCGGTCTCTGGGCCTGGGCCCCATGCCTCGTCCGCCCCTTAGACTGGCTACCCACCAGACCGCCCCAACCCAAACCGAAGGCCCGAATCTCGGCCGAATTTCGGGCTAGAGGGGGGTGCGGGCTTCATATGTGTTTTTGTCCATGCTCCCCGATCGCCCCCTGCTGGAAATGGAGGGCAAATCGGGGCCTTCGGGTTGGGCTGGGGTGGCTTGGTGGGCGGTGATCGACTGATCTCCAGCCCATCCTTCCACGAGCCTGGGATTTCTTGGTCAGAGTCCGGAGGGATGCCCGTTGGGATCTGTTTCGGAACCTGTGGGCAGCATTGTGGAGGCAAGTTTGACGCCAATTGGGGACAGTGTGGGGGCCTCCTGGGCATCTTTGGGGTCCATGTGGGACAATACTCGGCCGTCATGGGCCGTCATTGGGTTTTGGGCAATCTAGAACCTCTCCTGGCGCACTCCTGTGCCCGGTTGGGGGCGTCTTGGGGCCCTCTTGGATCGTGATGGGGCCCTCGTGGGCCGTCTTGGGGGCGTTTTGGGCCGTTTTGCGGCGATGTTTGGGACATTGTCGGTCGTTTCGGGCCGTCGGTCGC